TCCACCACAAATCCCACTTGACCAGACCCAGGATTGAACCCAGGTCGCCACAGTGGGAAGCCTGTGAATAACTGCTTGAGCCATGGTGTGGCCTTATGTTTAACAATGTCAACTATCTAAAGTACATGATGTACTAGATATTTCAAGGGCTGGCTAGACTGAGCATGTGGGTTCCAAAGTTAGACGTGTTTTAGTAGGTTACAGGGTGTATTCCTACAATCAACATAAAAAGAAATTTCATTTATTGCCCTTTCAAAAGACTGTATGTTTTAGATATAATTATATCACCATCAGACCCTAATTACTGAAAGCACAAATGCACACTCTCCCCTTACACAAGGCATATTACAAATGTATATTAAAATTCACGTTTTATCATCAAAGCTATAAAACTAAGTCATCCTAAATGGATGCATTTTGTGATAATGTGAGATAACAATTCAGCATTATTACTCACCTCTACTCTCTTTTTGAGTCCACCCATCTTCTCATATTTCTCATGAATGGCTGCAGTGCAAACGCTGCGCATGTTTGTGAAAAAGTTCTTCACATAAAAGTTGTCTACTTTCACCCACTGTACCACATTCTGAACATTAGTTTGGCATGCCCAGTGATAGATAAGTTTCAGAAGTACCGTTGGTGGGTGCGGTGCTCCCTCAAAGATAGACCCACTGAATACCTACAAAAGAGACAGTTTAACTTCTTTTCATCAACAAGTTAAAAGTAATCCATAATCAACAGTTTTTACTTCTAATTATGGTCTTCTGATGTCACTTCCTCTGACTACCCAGTTCTGAGTAGGAGCAACACATAATGGTGAATTCCATTTACTTCTGATCATGATGAGGATGAAAGCCAGCACAAGTCTACAGTCTGACATAGGCTCCACACCTTGGATAGGGCCTGGTATTACTACATGCATTAATTTTTCATTTTGTCAGAAGTCAGCACTCAATATGGTGTGTCTGTAACTTCTACACAGGAGGCAGTTTAATATAAGCCTAAAAGCTTGGATAAGGCCTACTATTACCCATATACATTAATTCTGGCTTCTTCAGGGTCTGTATTTGATATGGCTGGTCTATAATTTATACACAGGAGAATTTGCCTCTAGATCACCAGGTGGCCCAAGGATCTCATTCACACAAGTTGCAAAGAATCATTACCACTGACCGAGGAAGAGGCAAACACTGACCGATACAAATCGTTGAGGGCAGCACTCGCTGATCCAGACATAGCCCCCACTGTAAGGGAACTTGCTAACATCTGAATACATGCCGAGTTTCAGTTTGATGGGTGTTGTGTTGTCAGGCATGACATGCGTGGTGCAGTACTGCTCACTTCGCACTAGACCTTGCTGTATCAGCCATTCAGTAAATTTCGTAGGGGTGAACATCAGCACACTCTTCACTTTTGCATCTGAAACACAAAACACTTATTCAAGGTCTGAATGGTTGAAAAGAAAAAAAAAA